CCCATCGCTACTGCAGACGAGACATGTACCAAGACTAGTCCATAATAATCTGCTCATTGTCTATAAACTTATAGCTAAATCTGTTAGTCTACCTATCATATAACAATTAGCCCACGTAGAGCAAGACTAATAATATATTCGGCTACAGGCTGTAAAGATCTTTGGACGAGATCTACAACTTTGTAGTTAAAACTTTTTGATTTGAGATAGTTTGGAAGTCTAAATATACACCACAAGATTTTATAGAGTTAATATCAAAGGATTCCATATAATTTATAGTCATAAGTGAGTGTGTAGTGGTAGTTAAGGATCTTTGATGGAGAAGTGACCAAAGCAAAAGTTGTAGATCTCTAAATGTTATGCAACTAAGTGAGCGCTTGGTATAGCTTCTGAAATAGCTCTGGGAGCTCCATATCAGCCAACCGCTCTCCCACACAACTGCTTCATGTGCGGAGTCCTAGGAATACCGCACGGGAGCTGTTTTTGAAAGAGTGATTGGAATGAGTTGTTGTATTCCATATTGTGTATGGGTACATATATAGGCAGTCGGGGTAGCATGCAAGCCAACCACACAAGCGCACAAGTAGACGACCATTGCTATATTTACATCATGCTAATACTCCCCTACGGTCTTATCGGGAGCACGGCGAACGTTAAGATTGGATCGAAACTCTTGAAATACAGATGTTGGGAGACCCTTGGTGAAGATATCGACGTACTAGGATATTGTGGGGACATGGAGAACTCAAACATGACTGAGGGCGACACACTCCCGAACAAAGTGGAGATCAATTTCAACGTGCTTCGTGCGCTGATGCTGAACCGGATTGGTGGAGAGGTAGACAGCACTGACGTTGTGGCAATAAACCAGGGTGGCACGACGAAGATGGTGGCAAAGCTCAGCAAGTAACTGATGAAGTCATGTAGCTTCAGCGACACCATTGGCCATGGCTCGATACTCGGCCTCTGCGCTAGACCGGGAGACTATGTGCTGATGCTTAGAAGACCAGGACACCAGATTGTCATCGAGGAACACCGCATAGCCAGAGGTCGAACGACGAGTGTCGAGGGAGCCGGCCTAGTCCGCATCAGTGTAAACAACAAGCTCTGTCGACGGAGAGCGACACAGAGTCAAGCCAAGGAAAACATTACCCTATAAGTACTGTAGTATCTGCTTGAGGGTAGCAAGGTGTGGCTCGCGTGGATGATGCATGTAGAGACATATCTACTGGACGACATAGGCAATATCCGGACGAGTGAAAGTCAGATACTGTAGTGCACCAGCCAAACTGCGATACTGAGTAGAGTCAGCAACTGGAGGACAGTCGGCGGACAACTTGGAGTGCAGGTCGACGGGAGTACTGCAAGGCTTGCAAGCACTCATCCCGACGCGTTCCAAGATGTCCAGAGTATACTACCGTTGAGAGAGCAAAAGGCCATTATCGCAGTGGGCGACGGAGACACCAATGAAGTGATGGAGCTGTCCCATGTCGGTCATAGCAAACTCACGCTGAAGGGCTGCAATAATATGTTGAAGAAACCCAGCTGAGGAGGCGGTTAGAACAATATCATCAACATAGAGCAGTAGATATGCAGTGTCTGATCCCCGGTGATTAGCGTAGGTGCTTTGCGAAGTGCTTAGGTTAGTTAGACCACGCTCATTTGCGCTTGCTCTAGGCTTAGGTCTAGTTGCTAGTGAGGTTTGCATACCTCTTGACCAAAGGTGCTTACGCGCACCGTTTTTGTACTCGGCGGGGCTTGTAAGTCTTGCCAGACCATACCAACCGCGTTTTGGCCGAAACCTTGATAGTGAAGACGGCGGGGAGCGGTCCGAGAGAGGTACACCAGAGACCCACTTGCGCGTGGGAAAGGCCCGGGGCTATCCACGGAGTTACCCGACCGGGAGCTTGGCCCTTGTGAGGGATTCCTTGCGAGGGGCTCCAACGGGGATTAGGGGGAAGCTTGCGTGCTTCTCGATACCTCGATAAAAATACCGGAGTCATTGACGGAAGTTTGCATCTCTACCTCATCTTTAGCTTCTGCATTTTTATTGTAATCTTGGTTTTGTGCTTTACCATTCCTAGCTTAGTTGATAGGCTAGTTGATAAGGTTGGAACCTAGGTTGCATAACTCTTTTGCAGTAGAGACAGGAACACACCTAGTAAAACCTTAGTTGCACTTTAGATAGATTACTTTCTTGCATAGGTTTTGATTAGGTGAAATTAGAGGCCATAATTAGAAGTAAAATTTTAAGTTGCCTAATTCACCACCCTCTTAGGCGTCACGGTCCTTACACGCTGGACGCACTCTTCTCGGACGGTGAAAAAGGCTTTGTCCAGGCAGCCGCGAAGACGCAATGCCACCTTCTAGGTCGCACCGCTGCGTCGGATTTGGTTGTTTTTCATTTATGTAACAATAACATCGAAACTAGAGGCCTTTCGCTAGGATGGTCCAGCTACGACTGTTTTTAGGTCGATCTTCTTCGGCGCTCGATAGAGACGCGTTGTCTGTATATTTAAAATCTTCTTCTTAATACAATGATACACAAATATTTTGCTTATTCGAGAAAAAAAATAAGATGAAGGTCCGTATTATAGGGGATGGTCTCTCCACACTATTACTGATATAAACATAAACAAAGATGGAGGTCTATATGAATATCAACTTTATTGGTTTGATTTTCTAGCAAGCTGGCAGGCTTTATGGCACAGCCTCCCAACAGTGCAGCAACGTAACGGTGGCTTGCTCCAGCAAGGCAGCGCCCAGTGGATTTGTGGTCGTGGTGGAACCAATTTTTTTGGTTGATCATGTTAGAGCATGGAACAGTGGAAAAGGACAGGAAGAATGAGAGGAGGAAGAGAGTGTGTGAAGATGAGTTGGAATGCACAAAGATATTACTCCCATTAGCATTGATATGGTCATCAGTCATCACACACAGAATCTGACCCTTCTTTTCTTTCCAACATCTTTTCATGGCTGACCAATGCTATATATATTTATATATTGAGGAAACAGGAGGGGCCGCAGCCCTTACAGATTGAACTTATTAATTCTACCAATACTATATTCTAATCGTTAAGTTCCACTAATGGAGAACAGGGGGACGCCCTTTACGCAATACCAATGCAACCATAAACAAAACTGCCAGGTCCATGTGAACATCAATCAATTGTATTGGTATTCGTAAAGTGCAATGTCGTGCTGTCTGGTCGGCCACAATCAGCATTTTCATTTTGTGCCACTCGAATGCAGAGAACTCTTAATCATGCCAACTAATGCTTATGATGGTGATTTACAAGGTAATCGTACAAACGAAGCCACTATATTAATAAAGCTCCGAAGCTAGCAGGAGCGGATTTAATAATTAAGATTATGTAAGCGAGCCATGAAATGTCTTGCATGTGTACGCGTAACCGAGTAGAAACTGACGAACATAACGTTTAGACTCTGCACCTAACAACTCCTGCTAGTTACTCGGTTAATTAGTTCGCTCGACTTGATGCATCCACAAAAAAAATATATATTTGATATATAGAGAATCTCTCAAATTTCAGTAGGACACATATGTATGAGGAGTAGTTACCGACCCGGCTGCTAGCTGCAAGCGAGTGCTTACCGACGACGCCAGGGGCGGGGAAGGCGGCAAGCAGGGACCGACAGGACGCAGCGGGGCACGTCAAGGAGGAAGAGGAGCCAGAGACGGCGGTGGCGGTGGTCGGCCGGTGAGTGCGCGGCGGCGTCACTCCTCCCTCCTCCTCCTCCTCCTCCTCCTCGAGCGATGACGGCTTGACTAGAAAGCCCAGCACGGCCCGAAAAATGGACAGCCCAGGCCAAAATCAGGCAGGACCAGCATTACGTGCAGGCCCACCAGATCTTTTTTCCCCTGAAGGGAAGTGGCAGAAGCCAGGCCCACTAGATCCAGCCGGATGACTTCGAGCATTCGATTCCAAATGCGAGAGGGCAGTCAGTTAAAATATATTGACTGGAAACAGAGTACACTTGTTTCATTTAGTCTAGTTACTAAACATGTTAAAGCCTGATGAAATTTCAGTCTATTAGTATTATTTTTTGAACAAGTTCAGTGAATTGTTGTAGATAGAAAAGAGAAAAACACACAAGCCCAACTGAACTTCGGATCCATGGAAACAAATGGCTCTGTTAGAGCCTCAGCAGAAGCCTCGAGCAAGTATATGTGAATAACACTGTGCTAATTCATCCCGGCTCCAAAACAAATCACATGTTCAAAAAGTAGTATATATATATATATATATATATATATATATATATATATATGTTGTTTGTTGATGGAAAACCCCACAATACAAGGATTGAGAGAACAGTCATCAACTCAAGCATATATAGTAGGACCAAATTCTGCTGGACAAAAATCCAATAGCAAGTGGATTTAATGAATTTAGAGTATATATAACTTTTGCATAAAGAAATGATCGGCACGTTCAGCATCCGTGTTACTTATTACAACAAATTGAGCCAGTAAGGCAAGAAGCAGCTGGTCCCCAGTCCCCTAATAGTAACTCAACAAGTCCAAAGCCCCAAACCATACTACCACAAGCGATGCTGCAGATTCATCAGAACCAACAGCAATCAGCATGCATCTACACATATTATCAAGTCTGAAGTAAAAATAGTAGTGATAATTCTCGAGACAACAGCCTGCTCTGCAGCTGGATCCATGTCGTAACCATATGCTGGAGACGGTGGTGCCAGCTGATAAACGCAGAGAGACTGCAAAGATGCTTCAACATCGACACCACCTGTGTGGGTATGAGTGGCTCTTGCCACACAAGTCCTGCCCACTAATATTGACGTTAGTTATTAACATGGTAAGAGAGTATACACAAAAAAAAACGGGGGTAGCTAGGAAACAATACTAATTAATTAAATATGACGTACTGAAGTAATAATATTAATTAAATATGATATATGTATAACAGCTGGCGCAAACATAAGGTAAAAAGACTCTGTAGTCTGTACCTGGCCTAGGCACTACTATTCCCGTCCTCTTCTTCCCGGGGCTCATCGTATTTGCCATCAAATACATACCTCCCGCCCATCAGTTTGATGTTGGATACAGGGTGACCTGGGTGCAGGCCAGCCACGTCCCTGAGCGCGCACTCTGCAGCCCTTCTATTGGATCCCTTTGCATATCGGCCCCCGATGTTTCCGATGACTTCCTTGAGGCCTGATAGGTACTCGATGCCAGCAGGCACACCACCATACCTGTCCCATCCCTGTGCATTGAAACATAGCTCGAGCCTTTCAAGCTTCGGCATCGCCCCTGCCTCAAAGGCCAGGTATGATATCCTGAAACATCCAACTGTAAAATGCTTGAGAGCAGGGAATCCTCTTCCACGGATGATGATCTTGTCTTTAGGAACTCCATGGATGTGCAAGTCGAGGCGGACAAGGGAGGGCAACTGTGAGAGAATCCCAACGTCATCCCCATACACATCCTGAACACTAAGCTCCAGGTCATAGAGGCTATGGTGCTGGCCAATCCACCCAGGAATCCTCGAGAACCAGCGATCGTACATTGCATGAAAGCTCTGGAGATGAATGAATGAAGTTGGGACTGAACACCATGAATCTAAGCAGGCTCTGAGAGTGACAGGTAGGTAATCACTATGAATATGTAGACATTTGAGGCTGCAAATGTTTCCAAGGGCGTGCACAAGTTCCCTACATTTTGCAGCAAACTCGTCTCTATTGGTGGATGTGTAGTCAGAATATCCGATTTCAACATTTGTCAGATTTGTCAATTCTCTCAGACCCTTGATATTGTCTAGTGAGTTTCTCAAATCAAAAAACGAGAAGTACGCAATGATTTCATGTTATTGATCCCACTAGGAAATATTACTTTGCTCTGGAACAATTAGATGCCATAAACGGCTCAAATGAACAATATCGATGGTAGCTGCAGATCGATCGTCCTTTTATTTCAAATGTTTTCGATTCTTTGCAGACGTCCAATTTTACTAGGTAACACCACATGACGACCACTTGCTATGATCTTTAAGAATCCCAGTTGAAACAAATGACATATTCCATTCAAGTCAAGTAACTTTCGGATGAATAGGGCCCACTTGAAATTTCAATCGTCAAAACTCGGAGATGCTTGAACTGTAAAATAGGAGGTAGATATAAAGAGGTACCAAATCTTGCTAGCATTCGTGTTTGGGATAGCTGGAAGGATCTTCCCTCTTTGTTTCATCTATTGCACCATCCAAACCGAGTGAGAGTCGACGGATCTTTGCAGGCTGTCTTGTCAAATCTTGTATATCATCCATTACAGTGATAAAATTGTCTTCTCTGGATTTATATAGGATAAGATCAAGCATCATGTCATGAACCCTGCAAGACATCACCTCACCATTGTAGTCTGTATCTACGGGCTGAATCAAACTCCTATTGATAAGCTCATTAAAATAGCTCTTTGCAATATCCTCTGGATCTGTCCCACGACCTTCACATATAAAACCTTCACTTACCCACTGTCTAACCAAATCGTTCTTATTGATTGTGTAGTCCTCTGGATAAATGCCGAGATATAGCATACAAGTCTTCAAATAATGAGGAAGGTTTATGTAGCTGAGGTTTAATATTTGTCTCATGCCATCCAAGCTTGGGCTCAGTTCAAAGCTGGAGCCCAGAGAGTCCCTTACATGTTCCCAGTGCTCCTTTAGTTTGCTTGGTTGGCTGGCTATTAGGCTAGATGTTGTGATAATTGCAAGTGGCAAACCACCACATTTTTTCAAAATTTGAGCAGACACTTCCATCAAATATGGAGGGCAAGCTTCCTCTGCACCAAAAATTCTTTTGAAGAATAAGCTTCGTGAGTCTTGGTCACTAAGGGCCTTCATCTTGTAAACACATTCAATGTTCTTAGCACAGCAAGCTCTGGCCACAGTCTCAATTCGTGAAGTTATTAATACTCTGCTGCCATTAATGTTCTCTGGAAGAGCACATCTAATGATATCCCATGCAGGAGCCTCTCAGATGTCATCAATTACAATGAAGTACCTGCCATGTAAATACAACAACATTAGCACAATGTATGTGAAAATATCCTAACTAAATTTTAAAACATCAACAACAAGAAAACTCAATCAATCAAACTTCAAATGTGGTTATGCTACCAGGGCTAAAACTTCAAAACAACCCCTATGGTGCTGAAGTTGAGCAAAAGGTAGCTCATGGGCCTTGCTGTTTTGTGAAGGTACTTTTTGTCAATACTGAATCTTACTTAGGTACTAATGAGATCTCCAATTCTAGTTTGACGAACATGCATGACTGCAGAATAGAAATCAAAAGACATTCAACATCTTCGGATAATAGTTGTAAAACTTTGTTTACTGGGTTTCTCTGGCTTTTGCATATGTTAATAAATGTCTCACAGGTTATGATGAAATAGAAATACATTGAATAATAAATCATTACTCGATGTGTGTGAGTGATAGTTAGTTATTATATACTGAAATCTGTAGGATCGATCAATGGATACAACATGGATGTCATTACCTAGTTAATCAAAAGTGAACAAGGTATAAACCAAGAAGAAAAAACAAACACATAAAAATTTCACTTGCAGGACACGCTAGAAAGCTAAAACTGAATCGCTTCAAAATCATGAAAATTAAGTTACTTAGCATTTGTTTTTATTGCTGGCATACCTCTTATCCAAAAGAAAATTTTGCAGCGTCCTAATCAATTCGGACTCTTCCCACATTTCCATGTTGGTGTTCTTTGGAGGTTTAAAGCCAACTTGAGATAGTATAGTCCTTAGTACCTTCCTAATATTTGGTTTTTGGGACACAGAAACAAAAGCTTGACACAGGAACAAGCCCTCTTGCTTGCGATAAATCTCATTTGCAAGGGTAGTTTTTCCAAGACCTCCAAATCCGACAATAGAGAGCACCTTTAGCTGATGTGAAGCAGGCACACTCTCTTCATCCATCAATTTTATCAGTTGGTCCCTGGGCTCCTCAATACCAACAAGGCTGGCTGACTCTGCATGGAGTGCCAAAACACGAGAATCGACGACTGTGTTGTTTGGCTTGGAAACAGTTTCATCGACCTTGTACCTCATGCGTCGCTCGTTCACCTCCATGACTCGACTCCTGAGGCCTTCCAGCTCCTTCGCAATCTGATGCCGAATGTTCATGGTTGTCAGCAGGCTCATGCTTCTATCCATGAACCCCTTGAATCCACGCGGCATGCTGCTGTACTTGCGCTCGACGCGATGCAGGAACTCATTGATACTGTCATCTATATCGTAGGAGAGTTCACGTACCTCCTTCACCCAGCACTTGTCTTGCTCGTCAGGCTCTTCCATGTCTGACATCTTCTTCAGGAACGCGTGCATGCTCTCTAGCTCAGCTTTAAGGAACATGATCTGTCCCTTAGCTTCTTTGAGCAGCTTGTACTCAGATGTGATCAAATCACCAAGCTTCGCTATCAGGGAGCCCAAAGCACCATGAGAAGCGCTGACCACGGCAGCCTCCATCGATCCCCTGGCCTTTCCTTTCTAGTGCTCAGCACTCTGAATCTGAAGTTGGCGATGTGAGGTTTTCTCAATTTTACTCCTGAATCAAATATATCGACAGATTCAGATGCTCTGTTTTCATAAATAAAAACTAGTTTATTACTCAACCTGGAAGATTGATCATAAGTTTTTTTTTAACAATCTGCACTTTTATTTGGAGAAGAAACATAAACAAAAAACTGCCAGAGAAGAGAGCGAGATTCGCTGAGGTCACTCACCGCTACAGCGGAGCGACCACTATTGTCTCTGCTTTCTTAGTTTGACAGTACGTATCCAGCTTCATTTGAAAAGCTTTGTGAGGTGAGGTCAGTCCTCAAGCTGCAAGAAAACCGTCCGCGAGCTTTGTCAGGCAGCTGTGAGATGTGGAACCACAATGAGAAGATTGCAATTTTCAGTCAACTCTGAGATCTAGTGTGTTCGAACTTCAACAAAATAAACCAAATGGAAACAAACGTACGTACGTACCAAGTTTTTCTGAGAAGTGAAAAAAAGACGGGCGATGGAGCAACACGCCGTCGCTGATTGTGTGCTGCTCCGAGTCACCGAGTGATTTTGTGCTTCCCCAACGGCAGCCAGATGAAGAGGGAGAGGCAGAGAGAAGTGTCCCTGGACCTGGCCGATGGAGTTTTTCTTTATCACGATTTACGAGTGACAGTTCTAGACTTCTAGTTATCAATATGGACTTGTATCTCCACTTCTTTTTTAGAGTGTGCAGTTTTCTTTGGAGGGCAAATCGAATCAACTGTGAGAGCAGAGAGAGTGATATTCATACCGTACACACCAGGAGACACTGAACTGAATGGTAAGGTGGTGGTTGCTGTGGGAGCCAAGTTTTTCTTCCAACGCAACTGAAAGCAATCGCGGAGGCGCAGGAGATTCAGAGGAAGACGATGGGATTGCAGTGCAGGCACTGATGGGAAATTATGGGGCCAAAGGTTGCGGTGCGAGGGAACAAATGAACAAGAGGATTTTGTCCTTTGTTTCCTCAGCTCGATCTGCAAAGTTCAGGGTTTCAGATTAACAGAATTGCACAAACCCCTCTGTTACTTCAGGGTTTCTTCAGATGCCGGAGCGCGGGGCGGTGGAAGCGCAAGCTTTGTTGAAAACAATTGCAGAGGGAGGGCAGGTGTTTGTAGCACTGGCACCACTGAGTGCGTGCCTGCGTGGGCGTGGTTCCAGCAGCGAGATTCAGAGGAAGAGGATGGGACGGGAGGCGACGGTGTGAAACTATGGATCTGCAAGTGAAGGACAAGAGGATTTCCTGGATCTGCAACGCTCAGGGTTTCATAGAACTGCACAATGCAAACCCAGATCTGTATAACGACGCGGTTTCTCAAACAACCACCTCTTCAGTCGCAATATTTTTTGTTTGCTTTATCTGTATACCAGTCCTTTGCATTGGAGAAGATTGGGATACAATATAATAGTGCAACACACAGTACTGCACAAAAGGGAGCTGGTAGGACTCGTTTGGGACGAGTGAAAAGCAAGATGGAGGCATACAATAATTGTAGCAGGTTGTTATATTATCAGCCTGCCAATAGGGTACACACACCAACTGTTTTTTTAACCTGAAGATGACTTGCAGGTTGTAAGGATGCTTCATTGCGTGCTTCCGGTCTTGTGCTGCGTTTAAATTGGAATGTTAGTACATATACACAGGTACACTGCTGGAATCATCTGAAGAAGAAATATAACCCAGTCTTGCAGGGATGAATGCAGCACGCGCTGCACAGTGGCCACGGCGCGGAATTATTGGATATTGGGGCAGAGGACATGCGTGCATCGTCACCATCCATGTGAGGTGACAGGGGCTGGGTTCGGCGCGAGAGCGAGACCACCTGTCGGCACTCGCGACTTGACTCCAAAGGTCGTCTCGTCTGAACGGGCTGGCCGTCCTGCCGGCGCTACAAACTGGACGCCATCGCCAATTCGCCATCGCGGCATCATTGCCTCGCTACGAGACGGGCGAGGCCTGCTGTACCTAGTCCACATGAGCATTATTGTGTGTTTGATGGACAGGTCTCGATCCAACAGCTTTGCTTGGTAGATGAATTGAGCTGAACTTATGGCGACCATTCACAGGTCCCAGCTAGCGAGTTTTTCTCCGATCCTCCCTCACCATGCCTCCACAACGCAACCAGATGAATGGTGACGGCAAACTGTAACCCTACGTGAGATACGTTTCCAGTTCAAGTGATTAGTGGTTGTGCATTTTTTTTGTTAAAAGTAGACTTTTTTATTACTTTCACTTTAAAATTTGTCTGGTTTCTACGGGTATGAGCGATGAAAGTCATTATGACAGATTTGCATGCTATCCATGGTTGTTGCCTTTTTGTTTCCCAAAATTATATAACACATATTTTTTTATTTTGGAATTGACAAGATCAAGAGCCGTTGTCCCCCACCCCCGCGCTGCCCCTACGGTGACCACGTTGCCGGCGGCTAGATCCGCCGCCACTGACCTCGCACTCCAGCCCCGCTGGCCGGATCCCCCTCCCCTCTTCCCAACGCACCCTTGTGAGTTGTGATAGGATGGGCGAACCCTAGGCGGGCCCCTGGTGGCTGCTCCCCACCCCGTGTCGCCGTCGCAGGCTGCTGCCAGCTCGGCGGCGGCGGCCCCCTCACCCACCTCTCTCCCCTTCACCGCAACCTCCTCACTCGCAGATCCGGCCTCCCCCGCGAGCATCGGCTCCTCAGGATGCTCCATCACCACCAATCCGCCATCGCCACCGCACTCCCAACCTGGCGAACTTGCGGCGCCCTCCGCGCCGTCGGCCTCAGGAACAACATCCGCCTCCCCCTCCCTCTCCCCTCCACCTCCGCGGTGTTGTGCGGCTGCCGACGTTGGAGATGATGACACCCCGTCTCCCAATTGCCCCCTGCCGCCACCGCAGCCTGTCGGCCGCCTTTCTGGCTCCGGCAGCCACCACACAGACTCCCGGCGCGTTCGGCACCGGTCGACCACCTTCCCCCTCTCCCCTAATGCGCTTACGTTCTTCCCCTGTTCCACTGGTAGATCCAAGTCCATACGCTAGGACTAGATCTGCCTCTCCGACGACTCAGACGGCGAATGATCCCCTTCGTCGTACCTCGAGGCCGCTCGCCGGGCGCTAACGGCTACCCTAAATGCTCTGGCCATCACTAGGATGTCGAGGCGCCAGCGCGATCGATCTTTGCCAGCTGCAGACTCTAACCTAACGGACGACGGTGGGGCGCTAAGGGTCTGTTGCCCATGACGTCGTCGCTAGCCCAATGGGTCGCCGAGGTGCCCAGTACAGCATCGGCTCAGATGGACCTAGCTCGCTCAAGAATCGCCAGCGCACAACAGTTGGGGCCACGCCGCTGCTGTCTCACCCCTAGACGGCGAGGGTGGCGGCGGGTGGCCGCCACTTGAGGAGGTACGGTGCCTCGCCCCGATGGCAGCAGCCTTGTGGTGTTGTGGTTGGGTCGACTATGCCGCGCGCGCGTCGCCCCTTACCCGCCGTGCTCTGGGGAAGTGCCTCAACTACCTATCCTGGTCAAGACTATGTCGCCACTGCGGCCGCCATGTCGCTATCTTTGGTGCTATGGTTTTCGCACACAGTGCGGGATCGAAGCGGCGATGTCCCGATATCGACGGTGGACGCAGGGCGGTGGGCAGGGATGGATGGAGGATCGTGCGTTGCAAGCGGCAGCGGAGGGTGCCTCCTGTTGCCCCAGCGTAGCTACCGACACTGATGGCAGGCGACGATGACTAGCTCGAGACCGTGCCTCGAGCACCAAGCCACCCGCCCAAGTCGACCCGGTGGAGTCGGGTGGGGCTATGCATGTGTCGCCTGTTGGTCGAGGGCGTCGGCGCCGACGCACGAGGTGCCAAAGACGGCCAGAGGAAGGCACTAGTGACTCCTCCAACAGCGGTGGGACCGACCGTGACTTGTCGGCTAGCGGGACGTGCCTTCCTGGCTATGACCTGTTGACGCTGACTGTGTGGCCTCACGACGAGCTCTCTGGTCACGACGCATGGACGACCCAATGCTCGAGGAGTTCGCAGCCTCGATCGCCGTCAGCCGGATCGTCACGCGCCCTCCACTTGACCGCCTGGCTTCATCTCCAGTGGCCAACCAGCTGGAGGATAGGCCCACGATGGTGGTCACCTATGTCTGCACCTGCGGGTGGCAGATGCCGTCCCAGCATGCCGACTCGGAGCTACGGACTCCTCCTCTGCACACCACTCTGTGGGCAACAAACTCCCCCCGGTGTAGACTCAGCATGGGCAGACAAAGGTCACGCCATCACGGTTGGTGCAAAACGCCCCCTCAGGCATTGATGCATCCACGGAGGACGAAGAGGGCTACCTGCCAGGCTTTGGTCTAGTTGACCTCACGGCGGATGCCTGCCCCCTCAGGCGCCCGTTGCCTCTGGGCAAGGAGTACTGGATGTTCGGTAGCATTCTCTCGCTGACATTCCACGCTTGATCCGGGAGGGAGCTTGCCTGCTCCAAACTCCTGTGCTTCGGGGAAGACCCACCCTCAGGGTGCCTTGGGCCCGACCCAGCGTCAGTGCACCTAGGAGTACGTGCTTCGCTGCTAAACCTCGGGCGGCCAACTCAACTCTTCAGGCACAGGCACACAGCAAGTTCTTATGGCCAAGTTGGGGCTCGCAGTTCCAGCACAGCCCGTCGGCTCTACAGCTCTATAGAAGTTTGTGTTCATCTTTCCTGATAAGCTTTCAGAGTCCAAGCAAGAGGCGTTCAAGGTTCTGTTCCCTGACAACGCGAATACTTTGTCCCGGAGGTTGACACGCTTCTCGCCAAGCCGCTGAGTGCAACGTCGGGTGGCTAGGGAGGTTGTAGCCTAGCTGGCCTTTGACTAGGCGTCGGCAGGTTTCCTGCAGTTGTGGTTGCCTTTTTTCCCGTTGTAATCCTCAGCTTTTTTGGGTACTTTTTTTTTATTTTTGTGTGTTCTTGGTCCTCCTCTTTG